TAATATTTTCTCCGGAAAATGTACCTGGTTTTTAGTCATCTCTGGCTTATTTTTATTTTTAGGGAGAATTTTAAGAGGTTGTATTGCTTTTTTATGTACTGTATATATCATGTAGATTTTTAATCATTTTTACACTAGTTCTGGTTTCTATTTGTAATAGTTTAAGCTATTTTTGTGTTGTGCTTTACTGTGACAGCTTGACAGCTATGCCTTAAAGCTATAAGCTCCTTTGGTTTTGTGTGACTTCTACATCACCCCTGAAATCTAATAAATACAAACTGGATGCCTACAACTTGTCCCAGTGAAGTAACTCGTACCATTTGTTATATGACTTTATGCTAGACTAAGAAAAAAATGCTAAAAATGTTGGAACACTGTATAGTATTCAATTTAATAGTGTTACAACTGAGCGAAAGCTTTTCTTTTTCACTTTGTTACTGTGTTTAAATCGAATGCATGTGTATGACACCTAATTATAGCCTGAAAAATCACAAGAGGAGCAGTTTTTCTTTTACGTGTTTTTAAATTTTTCTTCTATCCTCGAGTCTGTTCACCCTTAAAAAAACAAAGGCGGTAACTAAAAAAAAAAACAAACAAACATTTCTGGGAAACGATCTGAATCATTCTAGTGAGAAACCTTAAAATCAAGCGAGAATCTGCTCAGAATAAAAGCTCCACCTGTTTCTATTCCCCTCAGCAAGTTCCGTTTTACCTTTCTGCATATGCTCATGTTTACAGACAGCTGTGAGATGCCACATTGCATTTTTACTGTATAAACCGGGGCTGAATATACCATTTTATGCAGCGAAGCATGCACATATATTAAAACTGACATTGTCATTCAGCGCAAGGCTTCACTTGAGCTGCCGCCATTGTATAAACATTCCCATTCTATTTTTTTTTTTTTCATTTCATCCATCATGTCAGCCCTTGAGATCATGTTAGCAAATCTGCATAGGCAGCCAGGCGTCAATGGAGGCTTCACGAGCTTAGACACAGCCGTGTTATTTCTGATGGACTGTTTGAGGCTCCTGCAAACTACGATTTGAGCCCGTTCACTGTTTGCCTTCTTTTTATTTAGCTAAAGCTTGGCTGAGCAGACTGTCAGACATGGTGGATTAAAGATAAATCCATTCATGTGCCTCTAACTAGCAGTCAGTCCACCTGGCAGCAGCGGCAGCAGCAGAACAGTGAGTGGCCAGTGAGGTGTCATGTGCACCATGCCACAGCTCCAGGGGAGACACAGGCAAGTTTCACAGCAGAGGATATTATACAGTGTGGAACATACACTGGTTTATTGTCAGGATTGGCCACTGCTGTCTGTCTGTATGTGGATGATTGCTCTGGAAGAAACGAAAAACTGTCCAGACTGTTGCAGAAACTGGACATGCGCACACACACAAACAGACACACACACACTCACATATACCTCATATACCCTGAATATACTTTAAAGTTTCGTTACAATCAGAGGTGTCCAAACTTTTTCGATGGGCATCCAGATTCAATAGTACAGAAATATCCACGTGACGTCTGTTTTTCCCTATACAGTACCATCAAGATGACTGCTTCTTCAAACATTCCAAAACATATATATATAAATATAAATTCCTAAAACTAAAAAATATTGTTATTTATTGAAAAGTGGTCCAGTGTAAGTAAAATGCATGCAAAACATTGTAGCCTTTTCCTCACTTTAGCATCTGCCAAGCCAAAAGTTAGCCACAAATATAGCAAAACATAACAAAAAAGCTCAAAAATGACCATCAAAGCAAAATGGCTACAGACATATAAACAGTGAAATATTATAATAATAGAGGACAAAAAGTCAAGAACAGTTTGCAACAGTTTGATAAATGAACACCAGCCAAGAAGTAGCGGCTGTAGAAATCAAATATCAAATAAAAAAATCAAATCAAATCAAAATATCAAAATGTTAGTATAAAAAAAAACTAGCTAAGACAATAGCTTAAAATGAGTCAAGCAGCTAAGATGTGAATATAAAGAAAACATGTTTAAAATGAGCAAAATAAGTCTGATAATCTAAGAAATCAGTTAAACGCTTTATTAAAATTGTCCAGTGTGGTGGCTCCATAACCTTTTTAGCAGATGCCATTCAGAAAATCCTTTTCTTCGGTCCACTCTGACATATTCAAAGCGCCTGCTATAAAAAAATGAAAGAAAAGGACTAGGAAAGAAGAATCACTTCTAGCTTTTATTTGTTTGTTTGGCCAAGGCTTACAGCAGCAGTAATCTGAACAGAGGCTTGGAACAGTTCTACTGTTAGTGCCCTTCATGCAATCCCACCAGAATGTGGAATAGGACCCAGAACCTTCAGCATGACAGTCAGCAATCCTAGCACACTGTCACTTTTAAATTACAAATGACTGGAGAAAGTTAGAAAATATTAAAAGTTGAAATTAAATTCCCCACACCCCTTCCTGCGCCCCCACTTTGGGATCCACCGGTCAAGAGAAAACATATAGTTCTGTTCTGTTCTTTTTCATAGTAAACATCCATGAATCTGAACTAAACTGAATCGAATCACATCATCATGTTAGTTCATTTACAATGCCGCACATGTAAAACCATAAACAATGCCTCAGTCCTTCAAAGTATTAAATGCCAATTTAATGAGACAGTCGGTCATCCAACATGAGAGAAGGAGATAAAGAACGTTCACCTTCAGCTCACTGAAGCCTGAAAGCTGAGTTGAAGGTTGATTTCTCTGTACCCTCATAAAAACATTTTTTTTCACACTATGAACTGATGTTGTTCGATTTTGGACGTGTTTTGTTTGAGGACAGATCTGTACCTGCAGATTTCTTTGTCCTGTGTGCCAGCCTTCAACTGAGAGATTCTTTTTTCCCCCGTGTTCTCTGGAGTCTGACAGCTGGTACTGCAGCTTTACCTTCCTGGCATTTTACACCATTTATTGCCTTTGAAAGTCAAGTTGTCTTTTAACAGACCTATAAATGCCACCATCTGAACTTTCTTCCCTTTTCAACTTTGGTACAAAAAAACAGGTCTGTGGACGACCCTGCTACCATCTGTTTTAGACACGTTAAAAGTGCTAATAGACTTTGCTGGCAGAAGTTTCAGAAGTTTCTGAGGAGTTCTGGGAGGAATGCGTCCTACCAAAATATGTTTTTACTCAAATAGTATGACCTAATTTACAAACACAATGTTAAGGTTTCGTGTAAAATATAAATAAAAAATATATATAATGATTTGCAAGATAAACGATATCTTCTGTTAAAACTTATAAACTTAATGTTTTTGCAGATATTTATTCAGTTTGAATGCGACTGTGTAATATAACTTCATTTTAGCAACACTCCAAAACCTTTAAGGAAGTGAGTATAAGATTTAACTGCCAACTTTATTTGAATTTGACTTTGTAAAAACAAACTGTTTCAAATTTCAAATTTGATATGACAATTAAAAATGTTACAATTATTAAATGATTTCACTAAGAGATAAAAAGGCCTTCTGCTCCTCATTTCAAAGTCTCTGCTGCTGACACTGGGTTAATCACTGTGTACTTAGAGAAGAAGAAGAGTGAGAATCAGTGGATTCAGATGGAATTGGACATTGTTTCAGTTCATCTTTTACAACCAGAGTCTCACTGTTTCTCCTCTGGGTTTTTACTTCATTATTAAAACAAAAAGACAAACCGAACCAATGAATGCCACGTTTTGGAGAAACTAACCCATGATGCTCTGAGCTTTAGCACAATCCAATTAGGCAGCTAATTAAGGATTTAATTAACAACTTAATTTGCCTAATAGCAACATATATTAGCAGAAAACTGTCTTTCAATTAGTTCAATCTGCAAAAACACAAAATTAATAGGGAACATTTAGCCAATGCTAAAGGCTATTTGCACCAATAAGGCAGCAGAACTGTGAAGTGACTCACACACAAGATTTAATGAACTTGATTTACTAATTGTTGCCTTTTTAGTTTCATCTTACCTAAGCTTGCCTCCCTCTCTCTCCCACTCCCTCTCTCTATTTTAGGGAACCCCAAAAGCTACAATATTTTGTGGAAATCCTTTTTCTGATGTGTTTATCACCCAATCTCAAATGTTTTTCTAGGTCTTATTTAATGTATAAGTTATTGATTTTGGCTAATATGACCAGATCTACAGTCTTTTTAGCTAAATATTTACCATTCCTTACATTATACAAATTCTAAAATATTTGATACAAATCTGTCTGGCTTAACTTTTTATCACATAACCAGTTTTATAGAAAGCATTTGGCATAAATAATATGTATTTTCAGCATATTATTTCAACAATGACATACGTATATGCGCTATTTTTCTTGTAAGATTTTCAGTGTTACTTACTAATAAATCAGTAAACTACTGTATAGCGTCACATGGATGACCCACGGGTGTTTTTACAGTAGCAAATAAATACCCATAAGCACAGCAACCAGATTTAGTCCCAGGACTGTCTGTTAACAACTGAAAAACACAATTGTGTGAATATACTTTAATTACATACACACAATTAATTACTGAGTTATTTTGGAAGGCAGTCATTTTGAATGAAAAAACAAAAAACAAAAAAAAAACAGAGCTTTGTAGTCGTCTCTTTAATTATGATAGCTGCAGCGTTATCAGCTGGAAGACTAATTACACAGATACATGTGAAGGTCAACTTTCTGGAGCAGCTTCCATTCGTGAGCCAGTCATTATTGTAATTATCATTGTTGTAATTTACCTAGAGTGATACAGTACTGGAGCGGGAGACCACCTTATCTTATTCTGTCTCAATATTGTGTTCACAGGTGACCAGGGTATTTTTTAATCACCTGAGTTCTTTTCTTTTGTCTTTCTGCAAATCAAACCCAGGGGGATAATTATATTATGTGTCTAAAGGGGAAAATAATTATCTTGCTTTATTTATTTGTATTTTTCATAACAGATTGAATCCGGTTAAGTAATAATTTGGTTTCGTTTTAGGAAGATTGCAATGAGTCACTTACCTGCAGAAACAGACCCTGGTGTCTTTACAGCTCTCGTTGTGTGAAAACTCAGATCAGGAAGAGCCCAAGGATTCTTTACTATCTGAAGGACAGAAAATTAAAAAAAATATATCACAAATAAAGGCATGAATGTAGACTGTATACTGCATGTAAACTGGTTTTATTTAAATCCCCCATCCATCCATACATCTATCCATCCATCCATACATCCATCCATCTATCTTCATATGTTCTTCATTAAATCCCAGTCCCCACTGGCCATTAGTGATACTGCATACACCATGTCTTCTCTTTTATCTTTAATAAAACGATTCGGGAAATAAAGTTCACACTTTTCAGACATTCAAAAGGGTTTACCAAAAATAGAAACAAAATACATATGTTTTTTAAATAAAAAAGCGAGGATGCGTAGCATGCAATGAGTGAACAATGACATTTGTTATACACTGTAGCACCCTTCCTTTTTTCATGCCTGAATTGAAATAAATGAATGAATCTTCTCCAGGCTAAAATGTCATTTGAAAAAGAGCAATACTCAGTAACTAAAGGTTTGGTTTCTTGTAAAGTAATACAGGAAATGGAATATGTCCCCTCTGCGGTGCGCAGAACAGAGAAATATGGCCAAGATGTACCGTGATTGATTTCTCTATATTCTCCAAAAGGATCAGATAAATACACAACAAGTAAAAGTTTTCTGTGTGTGTGTACAGCGTCACACAATATCAGTTTAAAAGCTGTGAAAAGTTTGTTTGTCAACTTACCTAACTTACATCATGTCACAAAAACATAAAGAAATTACAAATATAAAAATGTAATTTAATAACAAATAAATAAATGTAATTGCTTGATTCGTTACAATTTATCACATTGCGCTTTATGTAATTACACACAGAAATGTCTAAGTGCTGAGTTTTGCCTTGGTACCTATACAGAAAATATTGCTAAACTTTAACTTTTAGACATCCTCTAACAGGCCGTGGTGCACTAGGTGCTACTTAAGCCAAATTAGATTTCTTGGGCTGCTTACCCTGTTTAGAAGTAGTAAATAATGAAAATTGAAAACAAGTAGGCTTTAGTATATTGGTAAGTCTGAGCAGTTTCTCCACGTTCATAGTACACCTCACTCAACATATTACTACATGCTGAGTTTTGGATTTACCAGAAGGTGTCTGTAAATGTAGAGCTGGATGAAGAAATGTGTTTCCTAACCCAGAAGACTTAATAGAGTTGGATCCTTTTATTTTAAAACAAACAGGAACAAAGCGCAGGCTCGACAGAGGAATGAACATAGTCTAACCTTGAGACGTGGACACCAACAGGATGCCCTCTCTTACATTATTCATATAAAAATACAATTTTCACTTATATTTTATTCATTGGAATTCTTTTTTTTTCTCTTCTTAAATAACAGGACGTCCTAGTGTGATTTCTGAGGGACAGAAAATGGGAAACAGAACAGGAGTGTTATTACTTTCACCCCAGTTATTGATCAAAATTAGAGGAATGCAACTAATAGAGGAGCTTTTTAATAATAACTCCATCGATCAATGTTGTCCTCTTAAGTCGTTTCAAGTAGCCCTTCACGACAATCCCAGAGGACATACCAAAGTTGGTGCGGGTGAAACAATGGCTTCCAAAACAACACTCTATGACTGTAGGAACCCGCAGGACTGCGTGTGTTCGCTCACTGAGATGTGCTCTAAAATGGGTAGGAGTTGCTGAGTTGTAAAAAATAAACTTACCACTGCTTTCTGACAGACAGTGTTGTGACATTATGACCTCTAATATTTTGTTGCGATGTGTCAGTCAATATATTGATGTTTTCGCAGGATGGACAGTACATGGAAGCTGAAGACAGTAGGCCAGTATGTGGAGTTGTTTGCACTACATTAAAGGTTGTATTCATTGTGTGCAAAGAAGATAAAGAAAAGTCAAAAGGTTAATGTCAAAAGTGTCAAAGTCTGTTGAAAAACATGACGTTTCTGAGCTTTGGAAAAAAAAATTAAAGACAATTTACTAAGGTTTACAAGAGTGGGAGCTGCAATCAAAATGGTTTGATCACCTCCAATCTTTTCACTTTTTTTGTTTTTGAAAACCAAGAGTTGCTGATCGGCAGATCGAAAATACAAAGCTCAATCAAGGTAGAGAGGAAGAAGTGTAAATGTGTCTATTAGATTAACCTTGAATCAACACTGTGGCACACAGGGAACCAAAGGAGACAGAGAATTAGAGAATGCCTCCTATTCTGTGATCGAGCAGCATCATTCCTGACAAACTTGTGTTACTAATTAATCTAAACAGCAACGACCCACACCCGCGAATTTTAGATTGGATATCGATATTGAGGTTCGGCTGGTATTTAACTGTCAATATTTTGATTACCGTTTCATTAGATAGAATTTAGTTTATTTGGGTGAAAATATACCAGGTCAGTGGCAGTAGTTCACCTTTAATGGGTAAAGAACCTTAGTCAAAGTCCAAGGAAGTGGCTCATTGGGGATGTACTAGTTAGTTAAAGTTTATAACTATTTTTGAGGAAACTTGACAATCTCATGCAAAACAATGGACTATCTTATAAAGAAATTCGTATTTCTTTTTATAAAAATTAACGTCGTACATCTAAACTTAAATAAATGAAAAACGTAATTCTAGGTGTCTAATAGCACCATCTACAGGGAAAGGTTGGAGCTTGTTAAGAAAATTTTAAAATAAATATTAATTTTCCCTTCAACGTGTCCTCCAAATAATTCCGGTTACTGTCCCTTTAAATGAAGACACGCTCCCTTTAACACGTGACACAACAAGGAAGTAGAAGGCATTATTGAAACGGTCCATCTCTGCAAACTGCGGACATAAACAGTGAAACGTGTAGAAACTGAACGATCGAAGACCGTGAATTTTAGAGTGCATTTACCTGTTCTGTCTGAAGGTTGTTGGATTGAGATCCTGCGCTGATAGAGGCAATTATTTTTGTAGAAATAGCCGTTCTTTGCATTAGAGCACTGTTAGAAACCCAGCGATGACAGTAAAACTGTTTGCACCGGTCCTCCTTTGCACTTTAATGTTCCTGCTCCCAACTTCTCCTGCGACTCTTCCGCTGGTCATCAACACGTGGCCTTTTATAAACGCGTCAGCTGTGGGTAAGAGAAGAGCAATTTATTTAGAGTATTTTTTCTCACACTTTAACCTGTCAGAGTGAGTGTTCCTTAAGGTGGCACTGGGTCAAACCAACCAAACAGAAACAGTTCATTGTCTTTGTATTGTGGCCCCAAAGTTTTTACTTTTATTCCTGTCATTCCTGTTTTGTTTTTTTTGTTTGCTTGACATTTACATTACTGGGATACTGTCTCATAAAAATGTCACATTATAACTGACATAAACCACGAATAATGCAATAAAGCAGTTTAAACACTTTTTATTGTAATGTCAAGAGTGACAATCAGCCTACAGGCTGTAAAACAGGTCTTATTATGACCGCAGTAAAAATTGATTTACTTAAAAGTTATTCCAAGGGAGACATTTTTGTAAAACATTATTGCATTGTGCAAGATCAGCATTACTAGACTGTATCTGTTTCAAGGGTTTAGGAGTTAGGGAAACATTGACACAATTAATTAAATTCCTTGAGACTTTTATTTTGGGTGAGAAGAATCCAAATTGGACATTTTTTACATTGTAAAACTTTTTCAAGGTAGTTTCTGCACTTAGAAGTTAAAATATGAAATAACTTTCTAAAATGTTTTAACTTGAATATGAATGCAAACTGTCCCTGTTAAAGCAGGAATACATAAAAAAATACTGATAAAAGATAAAGGTGCTGAGAAGTATGAAGTAAAAGTATTTGAAGGTTTAAACCATTCGGTCAGTAAAGACCAGTAAAGTAGTTATCATTCTCTGTTAGACATCTTCTCAAGTTGTAAAAACCCTGAAAATGTAGAATAACCTGCAGAAGTGTCAATAAAATTGAGCTGTCGTTGGGGACAAATATAGGAGGATTGTGTTGACCTTCGGCTCTGTTGACTGTCTTGTCTTTTACAGAAATTGTCCAATTAATATTTTGTAAAATTCTCCAGCAGCACAATGACTTTACATGATGTGTGCAGGTAACAACAAAAGAAAACCTAAAAATGCATGTTCTTGTTGTTAGTAGTAAAACACATTTTGATCAATTTAAATGTAAAACCTCAATATTTAGAATTCTGCTATATTTATTAACTCCAGTTAAAGAATAACATCATGTTGGCTCAAGTTAATTAAATAAATTAAGAATAACTCACTGAATATGCCACTGTTTTATGGCTGCAGCTGCTTCAACACGACTAACATTGACCCATTGCTCTCAGGTTACTCTCTCTCTCTTTCCCCATTGAAAATGTCCAAGTGAACCAACATTATAAAAAGATACTACAGCTTATGACATTTGTTTATTAGTGACGTGATTATCCGACAAGTCCTAAGTAGGGATCTACTGGAGAAAAGAGCGGCCGAAGTCCCTAAAAAAAACTACAGCATGGCTCTACACTGATCTTCAAAAATCTGCATTTGCTTGAGTAACATGCAATGTCTTGTATATTTAAACGGAAATGCATGTACTGTGTACACACAATGTGGCACTGATGGGAACATTTGCAAGCACGTAATATGGACCTGCTCTCATCAATGTTGATTTGTTTGGCTCGGTTTCATTAGTATTCCTGCATGTCCGGGGCCTAAAAAAATGTGATTTGGTTTTGGGAAAATATTGTCACTGTTCCAAGTTAATAGAATCATTTCTAATGAAAATAACAGTCAGTCTGACAAATACATTCCAAGAAATGCATCAGGCGAGCAGAGTCTGGGAGTTTGTCTGTGTGTGTGTGGCTATGAATAATTGAGAGAAAACTCAGAAAAGGCAAGGATTTAGCCTTTTATATACTGTATATATGCATATGTACACATACGGTATATGTATATATAGATAAAAAATGCATGTAGACATAGTGTACATACATCCCTAACATACATATACTGTATATATGTATGTATATATATATATGTATGTATGCATGCATGAATACATTGTATATGTATTTATTTATAAAGATTTTTTTTTCTCCTGCACTCAAGATTCCAGCGCAGCTTAACCGTAAGCCCATCAAGTCTCAAATGCCGATAGAAAATTGGCAGGAACCTCTCAGCTCATAACTGCCACCGCCAGCTCTGCCCTCTCTCCATTTGATTCCCTTCAGGGCGACACATTGGACTTGTTGAAATTGAAACTGAAAATATTTCAGCTTTGCAGCCAAGTGGTTTTTCTACAAGGTGCATAACTCAAAAAACACACTTGAGGGACGGAAATATGGGTACGAACCATGTTTCCCGAAGATCTCAAAGGCTATAGATCAAACCTGTTAGTGATTTACGTGAGTTTAAAGATTGGGAAGATGGATGTCCTTTAATTTATCAGATGGCTGTCACATCTTTTTACCTAAGGCATCTGTGAAAATGAAAAATACACCCAGCTGTCTGTTCTGCAGGTGGATTTAGTGGCCGCATGCTGATCTACCCTTCCACTCAGCTGCTGCTTTTCTTTTTTTTTTTTAAATAAGGAGCACTGTACTGTGGAGTTTAGCTTAGAAAATAACACATGCAGAGAAAAGAGTGTTTACCAATGACTGTGGAATTTCAAATGGGGAATCTTCACTGATAAGAACAGGATTTTCTGGCAGCATCCCGCTGAACAAAGCAGTGGTCAGATGATTTAGTGGCAATCTGGTGACAGTGATAGCAGTTGGTATTCTGATCCCCCATGGGCAGTTGGGGGATCAGCAGAGATCAATGACCAAATGCTTGTTGGCTCCCACTCACTATTAGAAATTCACCAAAGTGGACATTTCATAAAACATGTGAAATTATTAATAGCCAAGTACAAAATCACTGCTTTTAGCAAGTTATACAATATAAAAAGTTATAAAATAAAACAGGTGAAGATTGAAACTTGTTGTAGAAACATTACCAAACACTGTTGGCTGCATGACACCACCATTTAATATCCAGTTCAGAGAGAGTTCTTCTGGATGAAGTTCCCATGTTCTTCCCATGTGTGCATGGGTTCCTTTACATTTTTTATTTTATTTCCCAACCTCAACACTTGAAGCACACATAGGCAACATAAGACCTATGTCTTATAAGACGGGGTTGGATCTGCCCCCCCTCAGGGTACTTCCATCTTGCCACCAGCATCCTCTAGGAAAACAAAATGACAGCAAAGGGTTAATAAAAGGCTGAATGTGAAACTAAGGCAGCGCAGACACATTCTCAGCCATTGGCACAAAATCATTTGAGCCGGTCTCTGTTACTGCAGATGTAAGATAGCTGAAGAGCCAACAGTAGATCAGTGCCTGATCTTGACTTTAATTTAACAGGCTGCACTCAGTTTTGATGCAGCTCCAGAATTTGCAGACCGAGTGCCCAGTTTGTCAAATATAGTTCACACTGGATGTGTCTGCAGTTTGGTTTACAGCAGTACAATAATGGTATGGAAAATCTTTCACACAACTGGTAAATCCATTCAGAAGAGAATGGGTTATTTTGGAGAGTCTTCACTTCCTTTTCAATATTAAGTTTTCTGGACAACAGTTGTTGTCAAATGTGTTTATGCATTAGGTGCCTTTTTCAGACAGAGACATAAGGTTCTGATGATAACCTATGCTGACTAAAGTGCTCTTACCATGCACAGTAGAGCAGAGGTGTAATAACAACGGGTAAAGTTCAGGTGTTCACTTGAACACATAGCTTTTTTAATAGCTGTGATAAACACTTAAAGTACCTAAAAGTACAGGTTCTGTCATTATGTAAAGTCAACATAATGGTAGATGTGCTACACTGTAGACTTTTGTGCACTCTGGAATCAAACCCACAACCCTGTGGTTTAAAGGTGACAGCTCTGTCCAGCCTCAAGAACAAACAGACTCTTCTGCGCATGAAATAAAACACAACATTTGACTCAACTTTTTTTTCCTCCCGTCCTTTTGTCCTCATGTAGCCTGGCAAGTCCTGCAGTCCGGTGGATCAGTGTTGGATGCCGTGGAGCAGGGATGCACCCGCTGTGAAGCTGAGCAGTGTGACGGCAGTGTGGGCTACGGAGGCAGCCCAGATGAGAAAGGAGAAACCACGCTGGATGCCATGATCATGAACGGGTAAATACGCCTTTCACAAAATGCACCTTTACTGTAGATAAAGACAAAGAAGCAAAAAAGTTCAACAATAAAGACAGAAAAACAAAGTTTAAAAAAAAAAGCAGGGAATTTCAAATATAAATGTCACATCTTATACAATTCCTAAATGACCTTTGTGTAATTAAATGACAAAGAAAATCTCACTTCACTGAGGGAACGACAATCGGTTCAGCGTCTATCTATGCATCTTTAACATTTCCGGGATTAACTGGTTGACCTTTGTAGTGAGCTCTTTTTTAATAAAGTGCTAATTAAAAGTCTCATTAGGATCTGAAGACTTTGGAATTACAGAGGCCGTTAACACAACACAACACAACATTTATACACACGCAGACATATTTTTGCGTCATTTCAAATATCAGCTGACAGTGGAAACAAAGTGTTATTACTCTGTAAGATGCTTCCTTCTGCATCTTGCAGGGAAATTGACTTTTGTGGTTGTATAGACTATGAATATGTCATATAGAGGATCGGTCTCTCCCCCTCCTCACACTGTACTCTGTATAAGGGATGGGAGTTGTGGGGCATAATGAACACAGTATGGAATATTGGAGACAGTTCGTCACAACAGATGTGCATTTCCATGAAATCCGATAACAGATTCCTGGGAAGATATTGCTCCGTCTGACTTGACTGTACTGCACGGTCGACGTTTTACAACAGACGGGTCAGACGTCAAGGACGGGTTTGATGCAGCATTTAACTGCCCTAACAGAGGCAGGCATAGCAGGGGTTAAGAAATCAATATATATATATATATATATATATATATATATATATATATACTGTATATATTCATTTATTTCAAAATTTTTAATTTTTCCTAGCATTGATCTTTGTGTTGGATTTCCAGGGTAGTCGCAGAAATTTTTTTTCAAGGACGTCGTAAACTGAGGACCTTCTGTATTTAAAGCATTTAAATAATCTAATTAAACAATCTGTCACTTTCTTATTGGCCAGGCTCTCGACAGTACTTCTACTTTTAATTTACAAAATGCAGACATGAGTATTTTTAATAATTTTGGGCTCACAGTATGAAACCTTTTTAATCATATTTTCCTGACGCTACAACAACAACATGCAGAGCAGTATTCAACCTTAAACCTTTAACCTAGAATTTAGGACGTTTGCGGGCCAGGAAGTTGGAGACACCTGCTGTAGTCCAACAAAACAACTGCACAATTTCATCCAATTTACTCCAACATCCCTGCCAAGCACACACACAGTTTGTTAAAACTTTCTAAAATGATGCTCAATTTTTGATTCTTGACTGCAGGGGAGGGAGAAAGGAATGACTCAACCCTGAAGCAATTGTGGAGGCTTTAGTTCATCGTGATGGATTAATGCTTCAGATTAGAAACATGAATCAATATAAAACAATCCTGTGGCCTCGTCACGACGACCTGCAGCTTCAGAAACAAGATAACAAGTATGATTTAAAAGCAGTCTGACACAGACAAAAGAAACACGAGAGATGTTTCACTTGAAGGTCATAAGGCGCAGAATAATTACAGAGCGTTTCTATGTCTTTGCGTCCTACCTAAAGCGTCTTATTGTGTCTGTAAGCTAAGCTAATGATTAAATCTTGCTCATAACAATGACCTGAGTGACATCTTATGAGTTTGATTCATTAGACTAATTAGTTTGTCACCATCACAGGCTGGATGTCTAGAAAGTTTACTTGAAGAATTAATGGCTACATATAGTGCATCAGTGTTCACAGCTAATTGTTTACTAAGTGTCGAAGACTGATGAGTAATTTGTACAAATACAGGGCATCGTCTACTTCCACATACTTTTAAACTATAAATTAAAATAACTAGTAGATGTTTTTTTATATTTTGTTTTTATTTTTGCATAAAAAAATCAGCCTAATTGTTTCGTTTTTTTTTTTTTAAACTTTAGGTATTTTATATTTTGTCAGTATTGTAGTATTTCCCTACTGTACAGCTTAGCTCAGCTATCCTTTAGTCTATTCGTAGCTATTTTGGGTTACTTTTTAGCTAAATCCTCAGCTAAGCTTGAACAGTTTCTGGTCCTCGTGCCAAATAAAAAGACGTTTGCTTTTTTTCTCCTAATTATTACTCGGCTGGATTTATTTATCAGTAATGGCCACAGTTTCTGAGATGACCTGCTGTCAAAACCTGAACCACCGTCACCTCCTTTTTTTTGTTTTTGTTTAATTATTTAAATGTACATAGAGCTACTTTATTTGTTAGTTGTCTGTTCAAGGTAAAGGAAGCTTTGATTGGATAAAGGTTGACGTAGCTGCTGGAGCCGATGTTGTTGTTTTTCTGTCCAAAAAATATTGTTGTGGACATAAACTCGGCAGCAGCTGCTGCAGGAATGTGTAATCTCAGTGTCTTTTCTGTGGACAGGGACACACTGGAGGTGGGTGCAGTCGCGGACCTGAGGAGAATCAAAAACGCCATTGGAGTAGCGAGGGCCGTGATGGAGCGAACGGATCACACGCTGCTGGTGGGAGAGTCAGGTACATATAGATTTACGAACGCAGGGAGGATTTTCAACGTGGCAGGAAACACAGTCTCCGCGCACCGAAAGTATATGCAAGTATCTGTTATCCAAGAACTTTGGAGCCTCTGTATAGAAAGAGCAATAATGTTATCATCATCAAGCAGCTGTCACATAAGGACCAAAGCCTTTAAGACAACCCCATGATGTGTGTGTTTTTATTTTCCAGCACTTGAACGAGCTTGAATACCCAGATCACCCGCTTAAGTACTTACTGATGAATGCCTGCGTCACAGTACAGGATACTGTCCTAGGCATAAATAGAAAGTACGTGTAAGAGCCAAGAGCCAGAGAAGAGAATGTACAGTTTATACTCGCAGCACATGTTCATACATCTAACCTGTAAGCACTTCGATTGTTCTCCTGAGACTCCTGTAAGAATTGTGTTGTTTAAGTTACAATAAGGTAAGATTCTGAAAACAATAGTACTAAATTACAAAACAAAAAGAAAATCTAATCTATTTAACTATGAGCAACATTTCTAGATGAATGCATATTTTTTGGTCTCAGTCTTAACTTTATTCTCGAATGTTCTATAAAACTGTAAACTATAAGAACTAGTTGGTTATTAATTTAATAATATACGTCCTCTAGAGGACGGAGTGAACATCTTTGTCCTCACTGTGTAGTTCCAAATTTTAAGTGGTGACTTTTTGACTCTGGAAAAAAAAACATATAGGTCTGAATGATCTAAAGGAAATGCGAATGCTTTATGTCAAAAAGAATTCGCTATCGAAAAAAAAAATTAAAGCAATAATAAACAAACAGAAAGAAAGGAGTAAAAGTTCTGGAACAAAGTTGCGAAAAGAGGATTAAGAAGGTGAAAGACCACGACCCTGAGCTACCATCTCATCTGTCAAACACAGTTCTCTTTTAGCTCAGGCATGTTTGGCTGCTAATGGAAAAGGTATTTTTTGTGATAGTTCCACTGTTGATGGGGGAAGCAGGGTTGAATGCAGAGGTGTACAAGAGCATTGTGTGAGCTCCAAATCGACCAAACACATGAAAAAAAATCATTGACATGACATTTCATCACTCACTTCTAAAGATAGCAACCAAAGAGCTTTTAGAGGTAAAAGGTGGAGCATAAAGTTTGTGAAAACCAAAAGCACTAAAGGCAGAAAGTCACCAAAACAAGTAGGAGCTGCAGCAGGTTGCATTAAAACTCTGGGCCACCATCCCTGGGGCAGATACAAAGTGCCTGCTGGTGTCCTCTGGGTCAGGAACCCCAGATAGACATTGATTTAAAAAAAAAAAAAAAAAAGAGAAAATAAATCTTGTGATATTTTTTATGTTAGTAAAGTACATGTGTGTCGTTTTTTTCTTAAACCCTGGGAAATCCATTAAAAAGCAGCACTTTCTCTCCCCCACAGATCTTTCACATTGATTTTGAACTACTCCCATTACTTAACACTAAAATGCACTGCCCGTTATTTTTTCCAAATTGCTTGCCAAAGAATAAAACCAGTGCGAAGGCCCATGACATGTCTTGTCAACACAAAGGCGTCAACAACATGTGGCGTTAACACAGAGGGTCGTGCTGCTGTCACCAAGAAAAAAAAAACAAAAAACCTGTGGAGCTTCTGAGAGGTTTGTGAAGTTGCCGCAGATTCAGTGAATTTATAGATGTATTCTGACAAGAAAAACAAACTTCAAACACATACTGTGGTTTGAAGAAGAACATTTTCTTCACAGAAGAAGCGCTGCCTGATTAGTGTCAAAAAAGGGGAGATGAAAAATACATCCTAGGTCAGAATTAGCCAGGGATTTGAGTCTAAATGCTTCCTAAGTTCCTGAGATGGCCCCTAGGAGGTGTATGGTGTTGGTTCAGGCTTTCCTTTCAACTGCATATCCTTAAATATTGACATGCATTCATGTTTTTAACAGTATTGACTTGATAATAAAGTTTCATGATAACAAATTAATTACTAAGAAAGCAACTTTGCAGGGAAAAACAGTAAGCAACAAATAGTCAGGAATAATAGAGATAAAGGACTGGAAATCTAAATGACACAGGATTAGCTACATTTAATGAGGATTCCTGGGTAAGTCAACTTAAGGATACCTACCCAAAAATACATGGAATAAAGTAAAAATGAGCAGGACATCGTTTAAATATCTTTCTATAAATTAATGCAGAATTGATGGGAAACAATATTAAATAAAAAAGCCAAGTTAGTCATCTCAAGATTGATAATTATGTAATAACGAAAGGAACCAAAATACAGCAAGCAATGAATACAAGGATAGACAAAAGACAAAAAAACCCCAAACTTATATATGTATAACGAAGTCACAGCGTAGTAACTAGACATAGTACATTCTAGAACATTTACCACAAATGTAGCAGAATTGCTACAATGCGCATATACAGTAGCTAGCTGACTGACACATAACACCAACTTTGCTAAAGATGACCCAGGAACTAGCCTTAAAATAGCTACTCATTAAAAGTTCCCAGTCTGGAGCATGTGTCTTCTGTCACTCACCAGCTGATTGGACAGTTTTGTCTGGATGAAGGTACAGGGTTTATTTTAAAGGGAACATGATTGACCTGTCCATCAAAGGATCCTGTGTGGAACTCACTGCAAAGAGAAATTGATTTTTTACCATATAGATTCGGTACAGTTGAGGATGAACTGCACACGTCTGCTTGTGTTTTCCATATAAAATAATGGCAACAGACCCTACAAGTCGAACAGAGATGTAGCTACAGTACAGCCTGTCTAAATTACTTTACTTTGCCAGGAATGTAAGGCAAAATGTTTAAATCAACTCGAAGAGAGAGATGAGAATGACACCTCCAAAAAAAAGATGAAAAAATAAATAAATAAAGTGATTGCGTCAAAATCTAATATTTTGGCCCATATGTCAAAATGGCTCAAATGAATTGAATTCGTTGGACCAAATTGAACCATCACTCTGCCGAATGGTAAGGTCAGTGATGTTGAAAACAGTGGCAGAACAGGACTTGCTTTCCCACAGGAGATTAGATTGCTTTCAGTCCCTGTTCTTTGTTTGTGACCTTTTGTCCATCTTTTAACCCAAGGTCAGTGAGGAGTGGAGAGAACATCTATGTCCTGAAAACATTTCTTCTCTTCCCACAGCTTCTCTCTTTGCTGAAAACATGGGCTTCACTGCAGAGGACCTGACCACCAACAAATCCATGAATATATTCTCACAGTGGTTGAGTAACAACTGCCAACCCAATTACCGAAAGGTATGTATTTGTCAGTGTCCGTTGTGTACAATTCAGTGACCTGCTGTGTCGTCCAGCAAAACTCACCCCTTAAACTTTTCAGCAGCAGCTCAACACAGTATTACATTTTAACATAAGTTTTTACTTTAGAGATGTAGCAGCAAAACTAAAATACCTCAGTGAAATAAGGTTGAACAAAAAGTCACAATGTTATTAAAGGTGACCAGCCAGAAGTTTGAAGGGTCCAGAAGAATTACTTTGATTACTGGGCAATTATTTGTATTGTAAATTTGGTCTAGTTTGTTGTTGACTTCTGCTAAAGCTCTTTACTTTCGTAGTACAGTCTTTAAAAATAACATATGTTGTTCAATTTAATATATTTTTACCTATCATAATAGCCAAAGGAGTGAAAACCTCCAACAACAATTGCTAATCTTTAACACTGTTGAACAGTAAATACAGTTAGGTTTTGTTGAAGGCAGTTTTTGAAAGGTATGATTTAAACAATTCTCTTATTGTCTAAAAAGTTGCAGATTTCTGCTAAGGTCACAGAAGGGCAACTCTACCTGTTTTATTTATAACTAAAGAGACTGTTTTCAAGCTGTTTTTACCTTCGCCTTCATAAAGTGAACCGCTGCAGACTTGGTGATAAATTATTCACTGTTGCTCTTTCATGAAACAGACTAGTTGAGCCCAAATCTGGTTGACGGATGCCTTGACAAAAACACTGTGGGGAGGATAACCCTGAGACAGTTACAACAGGACACGCAAGAGGATCTTTGCTTTAGTTTGTCGAGTCAGGCTGTCAAACTTGATGCGTTTATCCAGTATATTTAATATTTTCCACAATCCGTTAACGTCGCTCTCATAGACAATCATTACACGTTATTATTTGTACAGACTGTAGGAGGCTAGTCAGACCAGCCTCACTGAGGGCAGGGCAGTAAATAAGTCTACAGCTGACCAGCTGACTGACAATTGTCAAAATGATCGTGAGGATTCTCGATCAAGTTTTGAAAGCAACACTAGACCATTCTACAAACCACTGCAAATATGCACAGTAATGACTGAAAATCACCAACTCCATGAATAAAATATGCATATTTGCATTTTTTGGTTTTATATTTCCATATAAATATTTTCATCATTGGGAATAGTCACATATAAAAACAGATGTGAAACACATACATCTACCGGCAGATTTACATTACGATCAATTATAATCACTAGTACTGCAATACTACACACTGCTGATAGACACTGATTAATGAGAAAAATGTAAGTTCTGTCATCCTCTAGTCTGGATTTTAGGATTTGACTTCCTACTTTTTTTACATTTTACTTCAAAAGAAGCTGAAGATGCTGAATAAACCATTCACACCTGCGTGCGGTTTGACAAGTTGGATTCAGGCCATGACGAGAGATGCCTCGAGGCGGAGAGATAAAATGAGCATTTTGTCCAACTACATTGGACTCTCCATATTCACATCTGCTGCTTTGTGCTGACCCTTAATCAAAGTCAAGTCAGAAGAAATATACAGTGTGCTGTCTGTGTCTGGATAATAAAGAAAGTCTTTTATGGCCAACTAAAGAACACACTTTCAGCAGTAGGAGGAATTTGAATGGGGATGTTTTTGATAGAATAATTGAGCATGTCAGTGGGCAGATGTTATAGGACATTTCAAATCAAAAGACTGCAGACAGCAAGTACAAGGTCTTTAAACCCTCCCTACATGTGACTGGAACCGTTGTGACCACGAGCCAACTACTAGACCTTGACCATGGGATGGTGCCCTGAATCTAGTAGAGGTCGGGCCCAGAAAACCCTTCTTTAGTCAACACTATGTAAGAAAGTAAAGCTAATCGCATTTAGTTGAACAGCAGTTACAAAACTTCAGACCTAAACCCGTAAACAATGACAAATGTCAACCCAAAATGTTTAAACTGTGATATATGGTTGTTAAATTAAAAAAAAAAGTTAAAGTGAAATGAATAGACAGATATCATTGTGTTTCCACGGAAACCCACCATGTCGCCTTGTTTTCTATTAGAATCATTGTCTGATGAGACTGGAATCATTTAAGCATTTAAGGCAATCCACGGCAGCTGATTGTGAAAGTAAACTATTACTATATTACTAAACTAAACTATATTTTTTCCTTTTTTTGCCTCGCAACATTTTAAGCCCAGGATCATATCATTAGAGACAGTAATAATGTTTTCTTTGCTGTTCAAAGAATGTATTTCCAGATCCTTCCAAGTTCTGTGGGCCCTACAAGCCCACGGCGGTGGTGAATGAGAAGAGGAGGGCACAGAGCACTGATATCCTCTCCCATGACACCATCGGTGGGTATCATCAGTTAACAATGAAATCCAGAAAGTCACCTTTCCTGGGGCGCATTAGAAGTTTAGTAATTAAGAGAGAAGCGGCGATGACAGTGACGAGGAAGAGAACAGACGGCAACCTGCCCATAAGGAACAATTTGGAGGCTTTGACATTGTCTGTTTGTTAAAGGGAGAGTTTAACTACCTGACCTGCATGCACCGATTACCTACTTACTACAACGGGGGCACTATTGTTCTATAACCGAACCATCTTTAAAATTCAATGCTTCTCCACATCAAATTAAAAAATGTCTGTTAACATTTGAGAGAATTTTAACTTATTTTTTAAGAATGATTATTTTTTTTATTATTTTTTAACAATAATCAATAAATCCATTGATCGCATGATAAATAGAAATGATGATAATTCCGCTGTCCTTGATAAATTGCTATGTCCATGCCTGTGTTTTCCTCGTTGTTCGAAAGTGGTGGCAACACAACAAACTTTCATTTTCGCCTAAAACATAACCACCAGACACTGTTTTCACAGCTGGGGAAAAATACTACACCTCGAGATGCAGAGCTTTCGTCCAGACCGTCAACACTAACTAAGGCATAACAGTAACAGTAACAGTAAAAAATAGTGTGTGTCTCACCATAAGTGTGGTTGGCTTTATTATTTATTACGGGCGTTCAGGTACCATCAGAGATGTGAGAATCTGAAAAATACTCATGAGAAATAAAATGTATTGGATTTGAAAGGCATTATTATGATATATTAACATACTGACAATATTATCATTTATCTGCAATAATTTGTGGGACAGTATATCGTCAGAGGCCTAAACTGTATCACTTTTTAACCATGGAGCTCAACTATGTGTTTGTAGCACCCCCTTGCAGTCAGAGAAAGACTCGTGAAACTGTTGTTCAGATTTTAGCTATGACCTCACTTCCTCGATGCCTAAGGTTTATCACTATTTTCCTAATTTTGCCATAGGGATGATCGCTATTGATCAGCACGGCCACGTCGCTGCTGGTACATCAACCAATGGAATGACGCACAAGGTCCCAGGGTATGAAGATTAAGGGGTTACTGCGTCATAGACTTGTGTATTTTCAATTTTAGATTTTTGGGAATTATTTGTGGCTCAGGTCTTTGTCTGAACACTTTGATTTCCTTTCTTTCAGTCGTGTCGGAGACTCTCCTATCCCTGGATCAGGGGCTTATGCTGACAGCACAGTTGGTGCTGCTGCAGCCACTGGAGATGGAGATATAATGATGCGTTTCCTCCCAAGGTACCCAATCTACTTCAACCTAAAACCGTAGAAAATCTGCACTCAAAAGTCTATTATAGATGTTTTTCAACCTTTTATGCTGGTCAGATCCACTGCGTGGACTTTAAATTGCTCACAACCATCAAATGTGATATTTAAAACAGGAAAGTGCGAAAACATTTTTTAATGAATTTTTGACAGAAAATGTTCCTTTTTTAATATGAAAGTGCTTTATTTATTTATTTTTTATGTTGAAAAGAATGTCAGAAAATGTGTTCCATTGTGTCTCAGGTTTTCTTACTGCAAATCCGAATGTAGAAGAAAAGTTTAAATTCCATCTTGTATTATGATGGAATGTCTGAAATATAAAAATCCTTGGCTACAAAGAAAAAACATTTAGGAAAAAAAGGTTAATAGAGAGGCTACCAAAAAAAAAAACAACAAACTGAATTTGTGTTTATACTTCTTACACACTTAGGGTGAATTTCGACTCATTTTGGACCAAGGTTACGTTCTTCCAAAAGAACTGAATAACTGTCAGTAGCCAGAGTCAAGGCTACTAAAGTCTTCTCTGTATCAGAATCAGTGACGTATTTTAAATACGTATATTTACTATGAATATTTATAAAAATAATACATAATATTGTGTTCTCATCCATTTTTATTCAATCCTGTTTAACCCATCATCTGTTGCCAAGGTGAAATAAATCTGCCTGAAGTCTAAAAGTAAATGGTAATGATGTTGTTTCTCTAACCAATCAGATCACAGTTAGCAACACTTCTAGCAGGCGTGCAGTTACGTTGGCAAGTTGAGTCATTTGATTGGATGGTCAAAGACCACAGTCTCGAATCTAGCAAACTGCTTCTATCATCTTCAACAACAAAAATTATTTAATTATATACTTTTTTTCCTCAAAGTATTGACTTTTGGACATTTCAAAGTGCCAATATCTACTGTGAGCTCTGGGCTGCATGAGCAACACTAGTCTTATAAAACCAGAAATGGTCTGGGTTGCCCCCAAACTGTCATTTGTACAGTACATCCCACAAGAGGTAAGAATTCTCCAAAGCTGCTGTTTGTATTCAGGTGCGAGGATATGGCAGATTTTTTTTTTTTTAGCTTTATTTATCCTGCGGTACTTTGTTGAACACACATACAGTTCTTTTAAATTTCACTCACTTTCACATTCACAGCAACACCTGAGGGATGTCGGAATCAGTCATGGCTCCCGAGTCACTTTCCTGGAACAATCGGGGTTTGTTAGTTCATGCAGACTCTGGGAATGTGAGGTTGAAAAAGAGAGACTGGAGGTTATTTTAGAATCCCTGATCAGATACTGTAGGTGGCCAATACTGCACCAACTATTGCTCAGATTGTCTTTAATAAAACTTCAGAATAGTAATTGTATCAGGCTTTTTACATAAGGTTTAATCCCTTGTGTATCAACAACTGCAGTGTCACAAAGTCGTGCTGTGACATGAACTACACTTAGTCATTTTTGACAGAATCCAAATCTTGCCCTGTGATGTTCAGGATCACATCCTCACCATCATCCTCGTCACACTAACATCTCCCTCTTGTATAAACCTGCCAACAGTTACTTGGCTGTAGAACTGATGAGAAATGGCGCCGATCCCTCGTCAGCCTGCAAGACGGCAATTTCCAGAATCAAGAAGCATCACAAGGAGTTCTTTGGAGCCATCATCTGTGCTAACACGACAGGACATTATGGTGAGTGCTGAGTTTTCACAAAGACAACTCCACTGCTCCCCGTCCAACACCTGTCATCTTTAAGTGTATTTGTCTGACATCAGTCAATTTGTTGGCCTTTGTTTCATAATCATTAATGGTGGCACAAGGTGAGAAAACGCTGCCAAAATCACTGTCTGGAAATCGCCGTGGCGATGGGACAAGTTGAAACTGATAAGGCTGAATGATCATAAAAGCTAATAGCCAAACATGAAATATAAATATATAAATATGGAAAATATTTGTGCCTAGTACCTTATATATGTGTGTAGGTGCTTAAGGCAGTGGATTTACATTTAATAACAATGTAATAACCAGTGTTTGGTCCAAAATTAATTGAATGCTAAGTAACTCATCTTCAAGAATTGAACCTGAACAATTAAATGTTAAAATGAATACAACAAGGAATGCAGCTAACATAGCTTAAACTGAGTGAATGCTCATAGTTAGAATGAATTGATCTAAAAATCATTAGCACGTTGTGAACGATGCCAAAACACAAACAAGGGTGTTACCTTCACTAAAAGTGATTTAAGTTTCACATAAATAAAACTGCCCATAACTGGACCAAAGACAGCTAAAGTTGGCCAAAACAGCTGAACAAGTTTAAATGTGCTACACATAGAGGACTGTTTATGCTTAGAAAAATAGAAATGTGCATATACAGTATATTTGTATAGTATGGTATGCAATAGCTAAAAGTTAGCCAAATAGAAACTAAAGTCATATAGCCAAATCAGTCCTGGTTGAAAATTATAAGTCCTTGAATTTGACCAAAAACAAAGCACAAAACATATTTTTTGTTATTATCTATAATTCAATTGCTGCTGCTGTTCTCCTTCCTATTGGTTTTTAGAAAGAGAGGGGAATTAAATGAATAATTTATATGAAATCATTTTGGAACATTTTTAAAAACAAGCCCACTGTATTAAAGAGTACACTAACTGAACTTCCTCTTAAGGACATTCCATCCACTTAGTCTCCAGCTCTACCCTTTCCTACCCACTGATGTTTTAGTTCTCATGACAACAGCTGCAGCTAATGCAGCATCTGGTCTCCTGCCTTACCTCCATCAGAAACATCCTGAGGTAACCTTTTCAGTTTTTATCTACACTTAGTTGAAAAAATAATGAGATCAAGACATTAAAAGGATGCTGTTTGCAGAGTCGCACCAGGCTAAGTGTGAATGTGTTTAACAACAACTCACATTCGGCCTGACTTGACTCTTTAAAAGACACTGTTTATGGACTGAAGCACAGGTGATTCCAGCTCTAATGACTGTCATTATTACCACAGCTACTGACGCCAGTGTTTTCATTATCTGTTTACAGTCTAATCTAAACCAAGAGCATTAACAAACCAGGTTACCTCAATGGCTTTCATCAAGATTGTGTCAAGAACACACAGTGGTTAAAAACATGCCACAAACTCCAATTATAATCATCGACCTGTGTCATTTCAACAACCGCCTGGGGGTGAAGAAAAAAGGGCAGCACTGAACTGTACTTAGAGCAAATTAACTGTATAAAACATGACCCTTGTCAGTTGATGCTAATAGTAGAATACCTGAGATTTATGGCTGCAGTTGCCATTTCCCAGGGATTTTTTTTTTTTCAAATATCGCATAAATTTAGAGGTAAATTAGCTAAAGGTTAAGGTAAAATGGCGAAGGAACTTACTGTGAAGAGTCAACTACAGCTGGTCCTCGATTTCTGTTGGAGATCATGCAAAATGTCCCCTCCCCCCAAAAAAAAAAAACCAAATAAACAAAATGAAGCAAACATAGCACAATCCAATATATGATGTAACATCTGTGAATGTAAACAAAGCTGTTTTCTGCTTTTAGCGCATTTGACAACATATTGCTAACCACGAAACGCCAAAGGTCAAGGAGGTCGTAAACCAAGGACCTCCTGTAGTCCCTGACTACCTAATTTTAGTTACTCTGCAATCCAGTACCCTCTGGATACTCAGAGCTAGTGCTTTATTTTACTATTAGTATGCAAGCCAAAGAGTCCAGATGAACAGACTAGCTTCTTAATCAGGTGTTTTGGGTTTTTCTAAGTGACACAATGAGAGACGTAACACACGACAAGAGCTGTGTAAATTTACTGATAAGAAGACAGTGAGTGTAGTTAATGGTGTTTATGACCAGTGGATTGTTAACCACAGTTAACAACTCACACAGCTGCTCATAAAGATCTCCAACATCTGTTTAGCTCCAAGTGCATTTGACAACGTTTGAATCTGAGCAGCTTTGACTCCCAGATGTTCACAGGTGTTTCCGTCTGCAGCGGTTGATATACAGCTATAAATCTTCCTTGATAAGATCAAACTAGTTGATAGGGATATTATACTCATCTATATCATTGTCCACGTGTCACCTGTCCTGCGAAGATAGAAAATAAATATTAATTTAACTTTTTTTTACTTGGTAATGCATGTGATTTAAAATGTACCAAACTACAATACTTAAAACAATACATACTTTAGCATAAGTCAAATTACAGTTTTTATTAAGTACTTTGAAAAGTATGAGTAAACAAAAAAAATACAGTAACACGAGTAAATGTAATTAGCTACTTTCCACCCGTGGCAAACGAATGGTGCGTTAACTGTTGCACTTTTTAAACAGCTCATCAAGAACAGAATTCTTTTTGAAACCTATATCAAAATAAATAATGTTTGACAAATAAACAGCAGCTGCACACACCTCTTTTATTAGCTCCAGCTGTGGGAGTGTTTTAGTCCTCCGTGTCTTCACTGTTGTCTCTCTTCCCTCCTCAGGTGCAGCGTGTAACAAATTTTCCAAGATCTCTAAGTTCCACTTCATGGTTTCAAACTCCGAGTCCAACACACCGCTCATGAAATCTGTGGACTGCATCTGAACATGGCGTCTACGCTGCTCCACTTTGAATTTAATGAACATTCCTATCACTGCGTCTGAATGACAAGGTTCAGTTTGAAATGCTTTTGAATTTTCTACGGTTGTGGTTTTTGTTTTTTAAAAGTTGCATTGAATTTAAATCACATTTCCATTGAAATAAATATAATTTAATTGAATTTTACAATTTTTAAAAATATTAATTAGGCGAATTAAATGCAATCAGACACTTTATTAAATATTATTTTTCATAAAAATATCATTCAGAATTATTTAAAAAGCTTATAAAATGGTTAGTTTTTTCACAAACAAGATATAACAAGTCTCTTAAACTGTTTCTGCTTTAATCAAAAGACTCTATAGGATCGGCATGTAGTGTGGTTTAAAAAAAAAAAAAAAGGATGTTAACAGCCGGGCAGGATGGACACCCCTGGTCCGTTCTCTGCCCACTGGAAAAAGTCACACTGTTTACCCTTTTGAAAGCTGCAGGTGTAGAAGTTCCGACCGTTGTTTGGTCCTATTTTCAGCACAGTCCTCATTAAACAGCGTTTCCCGTGGTGGCAAAAGGGGAAGTGTGTGTCTGCCCACTGCAACACAGAAAGAAATAAAGGTTTCACTGCATTTCTCCCTAGCCAGTTTAAACACTTTTTTTTGGATCATTTAGAATATAATGAAAAAGATAAGCTTCCAAAATAGGGCTCGAAAAGTTTTTTATTTTAACAATTCTTGCAGATGAGAAAATAATTGGAAAAAAAATCAATTTATTTTCTGATATTTCTTTCTCAGTATATTCCATCAACTAAAGTTGTTAGGAAGATTCTGAACTATTTATTTTCCAGGTGGAACCACGTTTTTTTTGTCATTTTCACCTCAAAGAAGGTGCATTTGGTCTCTCTGGGAAGCGAGCAGCTGTAGAACTGTCGTCCCTTATTCTCCCCGTCCTTGTGGACCACTCTGAGGACAGCAGGCCGACAGTGGGATGTGCAGCAGGGGACGCTGGGAGTAGGCGAGATGGAGGAACCGCCGCTTGTCGTTCCTATTTTGTGCACGCTGACAAAAGTGATGAAAGACTCTTATTAACTGGAAATACATCCAAAAATAATAATAAAAAAAAAAACAACCAGCAGGTATACCTGTCACATCAACCCCTTATTAGTGAACAAAACGGCCACTCCTCAACTGTGTGTGATGTGTGCGTGAGTGTGTTTGCATGTTGACCCCCAGACTTCACATCAATCTGAGCTCTGATAACAATGCCGCATTAGAAATTCCAGTCTGGAACGCGACTGTATCCTTATCTCCCTGAAGTTGCAAAAACAACTTCACTTATCATAAAGTTATTTCCCAAACAGCAAAACGTGGGATTCGCTTACCTAGAGTTGGGGGTTCCATTTTCAGCATTGTTACCAGGAAAGGGACTGTGATCAATTCTCATTTTCTTGGACGAGTGACTGCAGGAGGGCAGTGACTCCCCATCGGAGAACTCCGCACTTTGCTTTCGCCAGCCACCAGAGGCATAATTGGGCCTTGTTTTCCCCTGGCAGATGTTGTATTTATGTAAACCCTGCTCTGCCGCCGAGGAATTCAAATGACTGCTGGCCGGGGAGAGCGGGGAGTTCACCGGCTTCGGCTTTCTGCTCAAATCAGAGAAAACAAGGGTGGAAGTCCCAAATGCAGACTTCCAGTTGACTTTGAGCTCCTCTTGTGGTTTCTGGAAGGTGTTGCAGGGGTACTTAATCAAATGGGTGGTAAAAGGTGACGCCTCGATGCTGGTGTCGTCTTTGTGGACTGTAGAGACAAAAGCCAGAGAGAAAGAAAAACCTCCTGAATGGCCCTGAGCTGCAGCTTATTCCAGAAGAGAGTCTGCTTTATACAAAGTGGGTTAAACTACAAAGATAGAAGACTGCTGCACTGCCGTGCTGATGATACTGTGGTGCAAAAAGTCAATGAAATGTAACTCCATTCAATAAAAATATATATATATATATTTATGTAAACGACTTAAGAAAACTGAACCTACAGTATCTCAAAAACCATTAATTTACTCTTGAACAAAAAGTGCTTTACCCCCTGCTGTTTAAGTGCAGCCGCACCGTGGTCACCTAATATAAGTGTGGAAATGCTAATCTGAAAAGACTTTCTCTTGAGGCCAATTATTCATTTTTGCATTAAAAAGAATAATTAACAAAGATATTTAAACACTTTACTTAAACTTGTGTCATTTCAAGAAAGGCTCAGTAAAAAATAATTAAAACATTTGTTAAAAATTACTGCGCTAACTTTTAGTCATTTGGCCACATTTAATGCTATTATATTCAAGAGCCATTCACCTTTTCTCCAGGTTGAATTCAAGTACCTTTTTAGCATTTAAGCCCCTCAATAGACTAATTAACGCATTATTTAATAATATCCATAGTTAACACCTGGCTTTTAAGTGGTTTTTCTATAGGTATTTGAAAATAGCCTAAAAGGTCAGTTCTTTTTCCTCATTATTTTGGCTAACCTGTAGCCAATTATTTTTTTGCAGCAACAAAAGAGAGAGAGAGAGAGAGAGAGAGAAATTTAAGCCATTTTGGCATTTTACAGTTTTGCAGATCTCTTTCCCATCCTTTTGCTGTTTTTTCTCACTACAGTTATTAGCCATCATCCTTTAAACCATCCTGCATTTGCTGAATTTACATTTCCCAAATCAAATTTTTCAGTTCCACAGACGTGCGGATAAAACCCCAGACTGAGCAGCTTTCAAGAAAACCCCTGCAATCTTCAGCATCTCAAAAGTGAAAAAAAAAAAGAAAAACGGCTGACAGCTATTTGTCAACAAAAATACATGAGGACGCAATTTGCAAGTATTTTTAAACATTGAAATTTTCACTCAAAGCCTGCATGATGTATCCGCAGACAGATAGCGAAAAGATGGCCAGTTGACAGACATGCTCATTACTTTTGCAGCAACATACAAGCACAAACATGGAGGACTCAGCTGGCTTGTCTGCAAATGTCTCTGCGACAGCTTGGTGCCTTTTTCCTGAAGTGCTTGAGCATCGATGGCAAGCTTTTAATGTGGGATCAGTCAGCTAAACAGTAAAAAACTGTAGTTACTCGTGTTACATCTCTTGCTTACAAGGACATTCTGTCGCCCCATTAAATTCAGTGACAGCGAAGTCACAATATTTTACTCACCCTCAGGTCTGGGTGTAAGGCAGGCATCACAGGCTGTTGCTGCAGGCTGGTTGATGAGCGTGCAGAGATGACAGGCCCAGTCCTCTTCCTCCTTCTTAGCCACATTATCACTGCTCCTCTTATTGTAGACCCAGTCAATCAGGCTGTTTCTGACAGGGAGCCGACTAGATAAAGAAAACCAAAGTGACAAAAATACATCTGTGTGACTGAAAACAGCCTTCATTGAAGGAAACATGCACTCAGAGATGTTTTTTTCCATTGTGTTCACACTATGCTGTCGATCTTTTTAAAACCACACATGCACAGACCAAATATTTTGAATGCAAGGTTCACGTGTGTTTTCCAGGTCAACTCCAAGCTCTTTCCCAGCACTTTTTTAGATCTATATTCAAGCTTTTTCAGCACCTAAAAACTACTGCTAAATTACACTTTTTCTCCACAGTCACATACAAACAGAGAGGTGCACGGGGGCCAGGCATCATCATCGTGGAGGCAGCCATTTGTTATCAAAAAATACAGTTGCAATTTTCAAGCACTTCAAAGCAGAAAATCCAAAATTCAAACCATCAACACCCAATATGAAATATTTTTCTATGGGCTGAAAAAATGCTTCAAATACACTTTTTTTGATGACATTAACAGGAAACACATTTTCCACCAAATCCAGAGCAAACAGGTTTCCTGGAGTTGGCTTTTAGTTTTACCCTAAACAAATAGACAAAAATATAACATGTTTACAGTAAAATGGAACACATACAATTTCTCTATTTGTAATTGTAGTTATAGGTGTAGGTGCACTATATTAGTTCCTAGATAGTAAAAAGTATTTACAGAACAGTTTAAGAACAGAGTTATAAAGCTCAGTGAAATGATTTAGACATTTCCTGGAGAGATATGGTGGAAAGTTAGAGATGAAGTTGTGAGAAAGGAGACACAGATGATTGTCTGTAAGAATCATCTTCAAAGAAATGGTTACGACTAGTTTACCTATTGTCAGGTCTACAATGTATTTCAACGTCTCTTCACTCTCCGTGTTACAAACTGCACTGTATGGAACAGATCCAGGGAACAGCAAAACGCCCCAAAATATTGTTGAAAAAAATAAATAAAGGAAATTATTCATCAAGGATTATCAGAACATAGAGAAAGCACAGGCAAAGATAAAAAGAAAAGCCCAAACTGTTTGAGGATCTGGGTGCGTATATCTATATGTGTGCTCCCAGCTCTGTGTTCAGTTCTCTGACGTGAAGCTCCACAAATCTGCGCTTTCAACAGTCGTAAAGAGGGAACGCGGCTTTCAGCAAACTTTCTTCACAGAATGCATTAATCAGTCCAGTAATGTGCTGTAAGGGTTTTGGGGCTCTAACCCCTCGCAAAGCTTTGCTTAAACACAACCCAGGAGGTGTTGAGTCGGTGCCCTGTCTGGCAAACACAGCATTACATATGGATTAATACAGCCCCCTACCCCCAGCCCCCCGTCTATAACACTCCTTACTTCCTGCCAAGCCCATCTGCCTGCAAACATGGCCTCTACAAATCGGAACCCTTTTTTTCTGCAAAGGCTTTGGAACTTTCTCCAAAGAGTTTTGGGGAAATGACATTGAGCTGCACGGCGTTGCTAACAAATGGTGCCATAAGAAAAAGATCCCAGACTTCATTACCACAGTATCAGACTAACAGACACAGCGGGGCTGTCACTTCTTTCACAAGTCTGAATCAAACATTCTTTAAGCCTATTAAAAGATAAGCACATCAACTTTGACACAACATAAAGAACTATTTGTGAGGTACGTGGTAAAGCTGTGTTACAATTAGTGAGGACAATGTTAAGATACTAGTGTAGTCACGATACCAACTTTTTGTTATCCATACTGGTACCAACGGGTGTTTCGACACAATTGCAGAACTGTATGAAATAAGTCAAATATTATAAATACTAGACTTTTCACTAAAAAAATGCCATTACATATTGTCTGTCATAAACAGGTAATGAAGTCATTTCTTTACTTGGTTTTATAATATATTTTGTATAGTCTTTATAAAATTAAATGGTGAATTGCCTATGGAAAAGTTGTAGTGATGATTTAAACTTGCATTTAAACTTGAAAAAGGAGGATTTCTACCAATACTGTTTTCTCAACTCTTCATAAGTTAAAACATAGGTTTTCTGTTGTTTAATTCTCACTTTTAAAGGAACTGTTCATTTTATTTAATTTTGTTTAAATACAGAGTCACACACTAATAATTAGTACAGGATTAGCTTTTTCATAGCTAAGTCCTTGTGCAGATCACGACTTGATCGCCACTTTAATCGATAACCTTTGGGTTAATGTGAGGGCACTTTACAAGATAAATTATTTTTGCTTTTTATGTACTTTTTGATGTATTAAGATTAGGATTAGCTAGCTAGCTAAACAGAATTAATATCAATGCATAAGCGTAGCAAGCACATTCAAACTGAGCCGAGTCTCAGGCTCCAAACAAAAACTGCCAGCCCTGTGACAAAACGCATTTGATTCCTACTAAAAACATTTAGTGTGAGATAACATTAAATATAACAAAATAAATACCATTGCACACATTGGACATCAACACAACCCTTCATTAAAAACATCCTGGAACTTTTCAACACAAGTATAACAATGTAATAATTGCGTACGAGAACTTTTACCTGACGTCCACCCTGCTGGGATCGGCTTTCTGACAGCGCTCGCAGAAGTAAGTCATCCTGCCGTTGTCTCCAAGACGACAGACTGTGATAACATGAGAGCACTGGCCGCATTGGGCCCGCTTGTAGACTTTGTAGTGTTTGTAGAGAGCAGAGCCAGATTTTCGACACTGATAGAGACAACAAGGGCAGACACGAGTGAATAGAAAGATTAGGGAAAAAAAACATTTTGCTTTTTCGTACTAGACTTATTTGGTGGGAGAAAGGGAATATTTGCTTTTACTCCTGTTCGGGGTTTATATTTGATGTTTTGTCTAAAGTGATACTTGAATTCTCTCTGCTTTGGGCAAAAAGTAAATAAACAGATGAAATGAAATGTCTGCAGTAAGTTGAAGAGAAAAGTTTCAACACAGCATGAAATGTCTCACCTTATAGAACAGCAGGGTGAAATCACGTGTCATTTTCACCAAGTGGTGGATCTGCAGGTCTGTCAGCCGCTGAACCTGAAAATGAGACAGCAAACAGAGTCTTACTGTTCACAGCCAGAGAGAATAAATCTCATGTATCTGAGGCTTTTTTTAAAACACAAGTGAAATTAGTTTTAAATTGAGAAGCAGCTTTCTAACAGTGCAGGAGGCTGTAGTTTGAGAACCACCAGCCTATCAACACATAAAGTGAGTCGTGGCAGCCCAGGGCCAAGTGGTTAAAGGATTTGGCGTGTAATTGGAGGGTTGCTGGTTCCAATTCTCGGAACAACAGGACTGTGGTGCATTGACCAAGTGGCTCAAAACTGTCTAGCCCCCTGCTCCTCAAAGAGCTACACAGTGGTTTACTGTTTTTACATTGGAAAACATTAGGTATATAGCAACATATAAAGTACATTTTAGCAAAACATTTGTTAACTCTGAGATCACATTCAAAGTTTGCATTTTGTAATTGCCTATTGTAATCTTTTTGGCTTATTTGCATTTGTTTTGCACATTTTAACAGCAAAGTAAAAAATGTTCATACCTTAAAAACAACATTTCAAGGTTTCCAAGAACTGGGTAATGTCACAGCCAACAGATCAATAACAACAGCTTATGACCAATAAACAAGCCAGACGCAAAGGAAAATAAGTGAATTTAGAATGATACAGCGATACATCAGACAGGTGCTCTATTGTCAAGACCAACAGCTCAGGCAGTGAGGATCTGACTCAGACTGAAGCGGCTGTAAAAATCAACACTTGTAGCACTTTTGGGAGGAGAAGCATTTGGACAGGTTGTTGATGACCTGGAAGACAGGAGGAGGGGGCAAAAGTCCCAGATTGAAGTTTTGATCAAGGGTGCTATTTTCTGAAAACCATCTGGTATTTTCCAAAAGGATGTAAAGCTGAGGTTTTGGAAGAACCAGAAGGGAAAAAAAGAGTTGCATATTTGCAGCAAGTAGGTTCTTTATCAGTGTAATTTAGAATTTAAAAAATGAACAAAACAGTTATTTCCAGGACTCCAGATAAACCATCTTCTGCACTGGCAACGGCGTCTCTGGTAAATGTAAGGCAGAACGTAATTTATGCAATGAAAAAATAATAGGGAATAACGAGATAGGCGCTTTATTTGACAAGAGGGCATATTTAAAAAGACATGATGTTGCTCCGAGTAATAAAATGTGAGTAAATGGACAACAAAGTGGTCCCAGACCGTAAGTAAATATTTACGTTTTGGACATTTTTTCTCTGTGTCTCTCTTCCAACCAAATGTGATCTTTCTGTCTCTTTTCAAACTGCGCAACATGAGGCTTTAAAATAGCAGTTCACAAAACGACGACAACGCCACAGTGGGCTGCCATTAGAGTTTAAAATCACCAGGTAAAAACCCATTTCTGTGTTTATTTGTTTTCCCTCCTATTTCAGCCTCCTTCTCATTGCAATGCATTACTGAGGAGTAATGTTACTCGCATCATCATACATCGTCTCCTCCCGTACCTTCACGGCTGGGTGGAGGCCAGAATCAAACAGGGCCTCGTTTTTAATGATGTTGCCAACACCTGGCATCACTGTCTGGTCCAGGAGTACGTCGCACAGCATCCTGCTCCTCTGACGCTGCATCGCCTCCTTCGACTGGGAGAAGCTGAACTTTGAGGAACACACATCCAGTCCCTCCATAGTCTTCACCCTTTTCTCACACTCCTCAGTCAACCTGTGGAAAGTTACATCAAAATGGATGGTTGCTGTTAAGGCATGTGTGCCACAAGGTCACAGGTGCCCCTGTGGTCACACACCATATAATAGTTTCTTTCTTCTTTTGGGGGGGGGTGTCTGTGTTTTTGTTCGTGATGACAAAGAGCAGCTTAGGTGAAATTTCTAGACAGTAAAAAAATAAATGTCCGTCTGGCTGCTGCAGAAGTGAAGCAGGAACCTCACAGTCAATGAAAAGGACAAATGTCGAGCCAATAAGGCTGTGTTTTTCATGCAACAGCAGACTCCGTCTTCAGATAGCCCCGAAATGTAGGACATACTCTCGGTATGAGACTCATACCCCCAAGGTGAACTTGTGTCACCTCAATCTATCCAGGCAAGCTGGTGTCCCCGTTACCTTATTTCCACAGTGCTGTCAAAGAAGCACACAGTGTCGTTAGTCAGGTGTATTTCCAGCACCGGTGCAGGGCCTGTCCTATCCTTCCTCTCAGCGGGGTTTATACGCATTGATCCATTCATACCAAAGTGGACTCTGAGGGAGGGGGGAAGAGGAACAAATTTACTTTAAGGATAGAGTGTTTCAGTCCATATTACATAAATCAACAAAAGGGCAAATAGGTGGGCTAATGGCTGGAGCCTCTGCTGAATTAATAGAAAATGTCACTTCAGTCTTGCAGTGTAGAGACTCCGTGTGAGCTGTCTGAGGATTCTCTTGCACACTCTACCTGTGGGTTTGACGTAGCAAAAAATAATAAAAAAATATTTACATGGTATATCTCAAACTTTATTGTACTATGACTTGTTCAGTGTCACTTTTTCACAGAACCAGTGTTTATTTACTTTTTTTTTTTAAATCACCAAACAACAATGTTCCAAAAATGTTACGTAATTAAATAAAATTATATTCTAATTTCAATCTACTCACAATTTCCCCACTCAGTATCCTCAAAAACCTGGTCCTTTTCAGTTGAACACAACCCTGACATACTCACAGGATTTGAAGAAAGAGCAACGCACAAAGATCGAGGATCTTCAACAATGTATATAAAAAAACAATAAATAAAAAAAATACAAATGTAGAAATATAACATATAAATATAAGTTAAGCTATAAGTATACATGTTTATGATGTGAGTATTTTGTAAATCCACATATTGATTGAAGCATCATATAAATTCATATATAAATATACCTATACTGTACATTCTGCCTTCATGATCCTTAGTATTTAATTTCCAGTTCTTTGGTTCATTTCAGAACGTTGTTTGTGTTTCCACATTGAAAAGGAGAAAATAATCTAATGTTCCTTCCTGTGGTACCATTTGTTAGGAAACCGAAACTGTGATACTGCCCCTGAATACAGTGTAGCTTTGCTTTATGTCTAAATGAGAACTAAGTGCTACATTGATGAATCGATTTCTGTAGTTTTATTTACTTCTGCAGGAAACCTGAGGCAGGAGCTGCAGACAGATCACAGTGACATTTGTATTGGTCCACGATCGATATTTAAATGGATCAGATATCTAAAAATTTCATCTACACACGTGGTTGTCATTGTTTATGTCACAGCAGCACTTTTCAGGAATGATGCCGCTGCAGCAGAAGTGAGACTGTGCAGGCTGAGCAGTCACTTTTAAACAGTCGGCAAGAACTTCAGAACATCTCAGGTGAACACATGAGCAGTATGGAGAGGAGAGAGGAGAAGCACAAGACAAAAAGTTAAGGACAAAGGAAGACAACCAATCTTGATAAGACAGTGTCAGACAGAGATGGTCAAATTTTACCAACTGAAATCAATACTATGATATCAGCCATCATTGTTATCACTGCAATTCAAATGCAGAATTTTGTAGGGATGCACGGAATATGCAGCAACCAAAGAATTTTGGCCGAAAATTTGGTTTTCGTCCAAAAGAGTTCCACCACCGAAACAACGCAGCTAACTCAGGATGTGATGATGCAAGCAAAAACCACAGCTGGTACGGTGAGATCTATTTGGATCCTATGCATTTCACCGCGACTGGAATTGATCTGCATTATAAAAATCATTACTAATTATCATTATCATTACTATAGGTTAGTACAATGTTAGTAATACAGTAATTGGTAATTTCAGTGTTTTGGTTTTCAGCCTTGTGTTCATCATTTTCGGTTTTCAGTTGCGGCCAAGAATCATCTTCATTTCGGTGCATTTCTAGCATTTGTGTTTATGTACAAATCACACATTTGTTCTTAGTGATTTACAGTTTTTAAATAAAGGAGAACGTGAGAAAGACATCACCTCAGACAACAAGAGAGAAAGAGAGACAGAGGGACAAAAGGAGAGAGGGTCTGAGTTAGAGAAAGACACATCAAAACAAAGGTGTACCAACAGTGAGACAAAGACAATTAAGACGGAGACAATTGGACTGATAAGGGAAAAAAAGTGAGCTCGAGAGAGAGAATGAATAAAACAGACAAAGACCTTGGCAGGGAGACAATGAGAGAAAGAGAGAGAGGTAGACAGAATAAAAAAAGAGGGAGAGAAATAAAGGTATACAAAGAAGGGGGAATAAGGAAGGGACAGAGACACACAGATGCAAAAAGAAATAGATTTGGAGAACAAGAGAGGACGACAGAAGTGCAGGTGGAGACAGACAGAGATAAAGAAAAGCAGAGGAACCATAGCCACACATCAAACTGACATAAAAAGAAAATCTCCCACTGGTGGAGACACCAGCACAAACATGTGCTCAGGATCAACTGGACAGACACCACAGACACCACAGTCACAACCATCACGACCAGAGTCGACCATGCTGTAAAGAATTCACAATTCATTTCTAAGCTACAGCCGCCATAGTAATAAATCATTTCATCCACATGAATAATGAATTATTTAGTCCTTTAACATATATATGAATTTCCAGCTGTTTTCATTACGACTCCCTGACAGCAAACAACACACATAACAGTGTGAAATGAAGTCGGTAGGATAATAATAATGCTATTTAAGTTAATATAAATGTATGTGGCACCACAGGTAATGATAATTCTATATATCAAAAATAATAGGCTTTATTTTTCCAAACATAACTTAAATGCCTTGAATTGGAGGGAGAGAAAAATGATCCCTTATGAATACATAATTATTTATTTTGAGTTTAAAAATTCACTTTGAAACATTTGCAGCAATTCTTAGTTTAACCATCACTGTGGTTACCTTTAAGCTGTTTTTAGCTACTATATTAGTTTTATATTAGTAAATCTTAAGAATGCTTTTTGCCACATTTAAAGAACTTTCATTGATTTTTGAATTTTCGGGAGCTGAAAATGTTCTTAGTTTGTTCGTTTTGTGTATTTTAGGGTCAGATCTGTCACATATACGGTAGTTTTAGGGGTCAATCTGACCTTAACCATTTAATCGTTCAGTTTCTTTTGCATCCACAAAGTGAGGTATGGCTGCAACAACTGTTCAACTGCACAACAATTAAAGACTTGGAGTTCATTCAAAACAAGTTTCCAACATCAGCTCCGTCACTATGATTTATTTTTACTTGAGTTCAATTGGGTTTTAACAAGTCCGGCTGTTGGATTTCTCAACAAGGAAAGTGCAGAAAATAAAGTTTCTATATGAAAGTTCTTTTGATGTCACACAATATGAAGGGGTCACTGAATCCTGTGGTACATAAGTGTCAGGGTCTGTGTACTGAAAGAACACTGCTCAGTCTCAGGAGAAAACCAAAAGCCAGTTAATGGGACAGAGACCTTGACTTAAGACCTGAGACAGTAGGTAGAGGGTGACAAAAGCACTTTTCATTACCTCAATGCTTTTGGACCAAAGTACATGAAGAGCTCTTTCCCCAAAGTTTGTACACCAGAGTAGAGACAACCATGAAACGTATGGAACACATGTCCTTCAGAACTGCTTTTCTGTGGAAAAAAAAGAGACATGGAATGCTGTTACAGTAGCAATTAATGGTTTAAACAAGCACAAACAAGACAGGAACATATGTTTTGAGGATATGCATAAAAACAAAAGGACATGATTGTATATTTTTAACAGTAGATACTGTTTTGAATGTGTGTTTGTTTTACTGTATTATTTAAATGGATCATATGTTCTGGGTGCTGGTTATGTTCACATTCCAATGTCACTTTGTGTTTACAGTGAGCCTTTAAGCCACAGTAACCTAATAGATGTTATAATGTCAAATCATAAAAATACTCATTATTGTTTCCAAATGCAGTGTGAACCCCTGATTCTTGTTACAGATTTACACAGAGCTGTAATAATGACACTTCAATGAAAAAAAACATGACTTATCTTACTTTGGACGTGACCAAACTGCCTCTTATCTCCTTCACTTTCTGTCCTTTCTGAACTCTGGAGCGGATTTTCTCTCCGTTTAATGTACATCCTGGACCTTCAACCATCTTGAGCTGCAGTTTGTTTTGAGAATAGTAAAAGAAAAATATTCGATCTAATAAAATTTTAAGGCAAGACAACCATTGTTGTTACTTGACTACCCGCCATGGGACTCAAAGTTTAAGCATGCATAGTTGGTACCATATCCGGCGTTTCCGGTTACTCTTTCGCGCGGCTCACAGACCGTTGCTGCCCCCTAAAGACTGAAGTAAGCAGAAGTTCACCTTTACTGGTGACACTCTCGGTCCAGTCTTTTATTATTATTGTTATTCAAAACATATATTTTAATACAATATATATATATTGTTTTCAGATTTCGTGCATTATTTAAATAGCAATTTGACTTTTTACCGTTACTGTTGTTTATTTTGTATGTTTTGTATATGGTATCTTCATGATATATAAGTCAAAGGAGTCATTCCCATACCGTAATTGCATTAAAATCCTGAATTAAATAATAAATTATAATTGCGTCTGATTGAATCCGGTCAAAATAATAGTAATAATCTGCCCCGAATCGTTACATCAGAGTAGATTTGAAATTTCCCCACAAGAGGTCACCAATATACTAATATACTATTCTTGGATTTGCAAGAAACGGACGAGATAAATAGATAGATAGATAGATAGATAGATAGATAGATAGATAGATAGATAGATAGATAGATAGATAGATAGATAGATAGCTAGATAGATAGATAGATAGATATAGATAGATGGTCTAATGCAAACAACTTGTTTGCTTTGAATGTTTGCTGTCGAGTCATACTTTTCTGCTGCTCCACATATAAATAGACAGACTATATGTTCTCCAGCCAAGTGTGCAGCCCTTTCCTGCCCTCTCACCTCCCAAAAAGACAGCCCTCAGCAATAATGTAAATGGAAATCTAAGGCTGCTGTCACACTGGGTTCAGAAGGCGAGTGGAATTATGATGCAATTTAATCCAAGTTAGCTGATTGTGCATCTCTCCATCCGGCCTCTCACTTAGTATCTCGGGAAAGCTATCCTGATTTTTTTTTTTTTAGGTAGTGTTTAGTTTACTACTCACTCCACCGACAGTATAACATTGTAAAGCTTTTTTTGGTAAAATATGTTTCCAGAAAATTATGTCAATTTTCTAAGTTGAACAGCATTTCATCAATATGCAAATATCAGATTGGCTTCTTCTTCTGGTGCAGCCATAGTTTGCAACTAGCTTCATACTTTAAGTAACTATATAAAAAAAATTAACATTAGTTGCAGATTTGAGCCATGTTTTTATCAGGTGATGTGAAGTGTCATTTTTCTCTTTTCCCCTCCACCATGAATGTTACTCCTCCAAATTCTTTGCAAGGAAACCATGGATGTAGATGCACTGGACTGCCAAAGAGAGAAACCCAACTTGCATACTAACAATGTTTGCCACAAAGCAGCAGAAAGGATATATTCAAACCTCTTAAACAACACAAAGAGTATTATTGTTATTTTTGTTTTCAAAGCTTCTTCTAAAACACAATAAACTAAACTCAAAGACACCCTCAGTGGAGTGAGTGACACGTGCAGTTTGTCACCATTACATGAAAAAATGTTCACCTACAGAAGTACAAGTGTACTGTACTGTACTCTGTTAAAGTGCAGGATCAGCCAGGCATAGTTTGCAAACTGATGGTTACTGAGGAGGAAAGTTGTCAACGTGGGTTAAGACAAAACACACTGTGCTCTCAGCTATGACATCGAGAACAAAGCACAGACTTAAAGGATCATTAACTGTACTTGGTGTGAGAACAATGTATGTGAAGCAGAGTCTCAGTATTCTCACACATGCACAGTTTAACATTGCATAGTCGTTTTGGATAATCATTACTATTATTCAATATTAACTTTAACTGATTCTGCAGTCACACCTTTTGGCTTATTTTGTGAAACATGTTAAAAAGTAATTAAAAAAATACAAGTACAAATAAATGAGTTAATGAAAGAAAATACATCTTTCATTAGAATAGAAAAACATATTTTTACTTATTTGCCTTCCCCTCTACTTGTTGTAAATGTTGTGCCACCACTAAGTCATATAAACATGTCAAACTGTAAAAGCGGCCTTTTTGGACTTACATACATGTGACTGCGTGAGAGATGAGAATCACATGTGCTTTTTTATATCCAGGTATTTTATGGGAACAGAAGTGAAGGAAAAATCTTACCATAAAAACTTTTATGGTCAAACATAAACAGAGAGTGGATTTTGAATTGTATGATCCACTGATTGAAATCCCCTGAGGCTCATTGCTCACATATTTTCATGGCTTTCCCTGATATTCTGTGAACAATCCAGACACCTTTAAATCACTATGTTTCTGGGCTTTTGAATTTTGTCGGGGAGTAAAGAAATCATTAAATCTTTAAAGCAACATTCACATTTCTTTGCAATAATAAATTAGTTTTTATTACATATAAGTACCAATTTCCTTCATCTCAGTCAACGGTGAGCTTTTTGCTAGAGATTGAAATACCATCACATTATCCCATCTGGTATTCATTCAGTGTTTCCAGGATTAACGAGGGAACTTCTGTAGGATTTCCTCTTAAATTATGGAAACTATTATAGAACATATGCATTAAAACAATTTCCCTCATGTTAGAATTTATGCAACAGGCGTAGATCTGGACAGCACTGATTGGAGCAGCCATTTTAGAAAAGAAGGCACGTTTTCCCAGTGTTAGTTATTGATTGACCAACTCTTTCTACCAAAAATCAGTATGTAATCTATTTTTTTTACTCTTCTCCTTTTACTTGTTCTTCTATTACCTTTTATTCTGGATAATGTAACTTGGTGTGTGGAAAATTGTTATTTGATCCTGAGGTGGCAGAGTGTGACAGCCATACTGAGGCTGGAGTTTGGTTTCCACTGGATCATTAACACCGAACAACAGTAAGCTCATAAGGAACACTACATTCTGATGTAGCTGGGGGTTTACAGTTTTACATCAACTGTCAATAAAGTATTTTTAAAACTCTTTTTCTCCTTCTTCACCTTCTTCTCAACAATAATCCAGTGTCGAGGGTTTAGTCATGAGACAAAGCAACTATAGAGGAGAATACCTGTTGAAATGAAAATACACAAAAGGAGCTCAAACTCGATTCCCAATGTGAAACTTAAACCATCACACCCATCAGTCACTCTGACATCACCTCTCCTTATCTATTTACATTTGAAGCCTACATTTGATGGCTGACCACTGGTGCTTAAACCAACCACCTTCAGTTTGTTTATTCTTGGCAGCCATACCTTTTCACCTGCCTAACACTCACCAAACTAGGTAAAGTCTGTCTTTTACCTGCTGCCTACTCTCTCTACTGATGGGCTGCTGTCTGAATATCATGGTCCGTAGAGTGTGTGCAGAATAGAAGCAGAACTCAGATTTCAAGCTACACCTACAGTACCATGAACCCATCCATCATTCTGACTGCACAAATTACCACTGTCACAAACATGTGCAGCAGCAACATTATGTAAATCTGTGTCATCTTGTCTTTTCACACAGAGCCACAGCCTCTCTCTGGGCAGTCTGTCAGGTCTATTTTCCTGATCCTCAAACGAACCTCACAGTTTTTAAAATGTTTTATTATTATTGTTGTTAATTATTATTATTTATGTTAATCTGTCATCTTAAAAGTCACAGCTGTGTTATGCTCCGCTTTGGCCAAGCCATTTTTCCCACCAAATCTAACCTGTTACAATCACTCCTTCACACACATACATATTTTCTGTTTTCCTCTCTTTGACTTCCATCCGTTGTCTCTTTCATGCAGACCTTCACCTCTCCAGACCCCTGTCCGCCCCCTTCCACTCCTGCCTCATTTACAATGTCACCCATGACAGCGTAATCCACAGAGACCCCTGTATGAGACCTTTTCACTTTATTTCAATATTTCTTTTCAACTTTCACCAGGATGATGAAATGAAAAACAGACCTGCCGAGCAGACAGGATGACACAATCTTCAATAAACTGTGGAAACACAGACCTGCACTCCTCAGACTGAGTGGTGTTTATGTGTTCTTGTTTTTACTTGGGAGGAAAAAAAAGTTTAATTATATACAAAGCTGCATGTGAAGCAGATATGACAGTTGTTTCTCTGCTGGAGAAAAGCTTCACTGCAGATGGAGATGTGTTGCTATGCAACTGGGATTTCAAAAGTACTTTCAGTGCCAGGGTCACATTTCAGTGTCTGCCTCCACCGCCTTGGCAGCAAGTGATGACTACTAATAATACTATTTTTAAAGTGTCTTTGCAACTCCCCAAATGTGAATATTCCAGAGAATTCCATATATTATTCAGGAAAAATGTCTTCCTTCCCCTTTCTTGGGTCATATCTCTCTATTGTTGAATCATACATTACCCCGAGGACTGACAGTGACGGCACTGCACACATTATTGTATATATGGCAGAACTTACTGTTGGAAACAAGAAAGTAGAGAACAATAGCTACACAGGGCGTCTTTGGTTTACGCTGTCCTCACCTTATGGTGTTTCACGGCAACGTCACTGTCCATACATTTGTTAAGGAAGTCTTGTTCAATCATTACAGTTGTCATTCAGTTCCTACAGGAACTCTTCCTTAATCTGATGATTAAACCTTGCTTACACCAACTTTCCCAAGACTTTAAACTTTAAAGTTTATGCCTATATAATAGAAATAAAAGTATTTGTAAAGTCAACAAACATTTTCATATCCTAAAGACTGAACTGAAATAATTGTATAACCAATAATGTGACTATATGGCTTTACGCAGTTTATTATTGATGTATTTCATTAACTTACCTTGTTTAAATTGAATTTCTGGAAGTGTTTTTTGGTTCACGACCCATAATTTGAGAAACCTTATACTATCACAAAGTTTCATGAAGTCATACAGTACAGATTCATGAAACATTCATTTCTGTTAAAGAAAAATGATAACTGCAACATATCAAGGATGCTATTTTTTGATAACACTGATGACATAATTTTCAACAAAATGGCTGCAGGTGGGAATGAAAAAACAAACATAAAAACAAAAACAAACAGTGTTTAGATTTTTCCTCTAGGTGGCAGTGTTCACTTCCTGATAAGTGGCAATGGCCTTTGAGGATTTGGGCAAAACCACTTTGGTTGCACTTGTTACAGGAAGTGTTGGTTCACCATCAGGCGTAAACACGTGTTAGCTAAAACCCAGACATGCACAAAATAGCTGGGGATGATGCATAGATAATTTAAT